TGATAATCATTAAAAAAAACATTACAATGAAATTCAAATGCTGTTGCCTTTAATTTGGTTGTTTTTGACCATTATCGATTCTGAATGTTTGAAAACAAAAAAACAGAGAAAAAACAGCAAAAATAAATTCATTTGGATCATCATTATGAATGGGATTGATGATTGAAACAAACAAGACGAATTTTTTGGTTTTAGTTTTTGAAAAATCCTTTCATTCGAATAATTTTTTTTTTAAATGAATTTTGGTTACTATTACTACTACCATTTCTTCGCTACTATTTTTTGTTTAACTACTACTACTATTTTTTTTTGTTAACTATATATAATCTATTTAACTAATATTGTTTTCAAAAAAAAAAAAAATGTTACTATTGTTTTGAATTTTCAACAAAACAAAAAAAATCCAGTTTTTGTTTTGCAAATTGCCAAGGAAAACAAATGATGATGATGACAATGACAATGACAATGATAAACAAAATGTTGCAAAGAAAAATCCCAAAAACAAAGAAACGATTCAGTAAAATGAATTGAAAGAATATAATAAAAGAAAATTACATGCTGATATTTTTTTTTGTTTATTTTTTTTTTCTTTGGTTTCCCTTGTTTTCCAATGACAAATTCATTGGTTATTCTTATATCACAGAAACAAAGAAACCAAAAAACCAGAAAAACAACAAAGAAAACCAGAAAAATGATACAAAGTTAATTGGCCAGAAAAGAAATGATTATCAACATTGTTGATGTTTTTTTTGGGTTAGTTAATCGAAATAATTATTCGAAAACCCTTTTTTTCTCATTTTCCAACCAAATAATAAAAAAAGAAAAAACAACAACGAATTTTTATTGTTATTATTCTTGTTGACATGATGATGTTTATCAACCATAAAATCCTGTAACATACACTGTGATTGAAAGAAAAGCAATTCAAAATGACATGATGATATTTCAATTTTCTATTTCAATGATCAATTTCGAATCCCGGATTCGTTTGATTCTTTCTTGTGAAATTCTGAAATTCTTTTCCAATCAAACAAATGATAATTATTATTCAATTTTGAATAAGAAGAAAAAACTTTTTTTAAGAAAAGAAAGCCAACACTGTTTGTAAATATTTAACTTTTTTTTTTGAATCAGAAAAAAAAGAATGAAAAATATGCATTCTTCGTCCTACGACATTTCGTCAATCGGATTTTATTTGAATGAAGCAAATAGGATCATCAACAAAGTAACATTGACAAAAACCTTAAAGAAAGTAAAAAAAAAGAAGTTATTTCCGAATTTTCTATTCAAATGTTTTGTACGTACAAAAACGAAAACGACCAAATGAAAAAAAGGAAAGATTTTTCTTGTTTCTTTTTTTTTGGTTGAATGTGATGATTATATTTCTCGCAAAGAGAAAAAAAAGAAAAGAAAATGATAAGGTTTGAAATTTTGTATTTTTGTTTTGTCGTTCGGTTATTCTGTTCGGTTATTATTTGGTTATTCTGTTCGGTTATTCTATTCGGTTATTCAAAAATGATAATGATAAAATTTACATTTTATATTTCGATTCGTAAATTATATATTATTATCATTGTAAAAATAGACAAATTTTCAAAAGAATATTCTTTATTCTTATTCTTCTTCGAATGATAATGATTTTGTGATTATGATATTTTTTGCTTAGAAAAAAATAAGGTGGTTCTGTTCTTATGATAAGGTCTTAATAAGAAAAGATGTTGTTGTTGAAAAACATTTTAATATTTTAGTTTATCCAAAGGGAGAATTTTCTTTTTCCTGGTTGCAAATAAGCTTTACACCCAAAAAAATACATTCGTTTTTTTGTTTGGTTGATCTAATCATTATTATTATTATTTTATTGATGAAAGAATTTCCTATGTAAATTAGATGAATAAAAAGAGAGAGAGAAAAATGGATTAATTATCATCA